TCGGGGGCCCCCCTCGCGCGGCGAGCGCATACCGCGACGGGCGGCCTTCGCTGCCGTCGGCCTCCTGGGGCCCCTGGCCGGGCCCTGGGGGCCGTCGGAGAACGACTCGGGAGGTCGGCGCTGTGACAAAGTTCTGGGCGCCCGAGATGGGCACGGGAAACATGGGCACAATGCCCGACAACAAGCGTTGTCCCAAACCAACAGCGGCCGCTGTTGGGCAGGCAGCCTTCTGTCTCAAATGGACGCAGGCCGCGGCGGCGCGGACAGCGAGTCCTGTTCAAAATGAACAGGAACTGATGTTGGGCGTTGGGCATTGCACCCATTCTTCCCGTACCCATGTCGTTCGCGCCGAAAAAATCACGACGGCGGGGGTCTGGAGGGGGGGGGGGGCGGCCGGCGCGGAGCGGGGCGCAGCGCTACGGAGCGGCGGCGCGGCGCGGCGGAGTTCGTCGTCGTGGTCCGTCGTCGTCGTCGTCGTCGTCGTCGTCGTCGTCGTCGTCGTCGTCGTCGTCGTCGTCGTCGCCGCCGCCGCCGCCGTCGTCGTCATCGTCGTCGTCGTCGTCGTCGTCGTCGTCCTTGTTTTTTGTCTCTCTCTCCCTCTCTCTCTCTTTCTGTCTCTCTCCCTCTCCCTGCTTCTAGTGTTCTTTCTCGTTCTCTCCTCTCCTCGCTTCGTCGTTTCTCCTTTTGGCATTTTCGCGGGCCCCGGTGCGACGGGCACGGAGACCCAGACAGCCATCGCCGTTTTCGGCCTCTGGGGCCCCTCGCCGGCCTCTGGGGCCCCTCACCAGGGGGAAGGGTCGTGACTCCTGGGGGCCCAACACTGGAAACATCAGGAAGTCGCTGGGTGGGCCCCGGAAACGGCAGGGCCGTTTTTTCCTCCGTTTCCGTAGAAAAGTGCCCCTTGAGAACGGAAGCGGCAAAAAAACGGCGACCAGAAACGGCAACAAAAACGGCTCCAGGATTGGAGCCGGAGCGGGAACCCGCAGCACACGGCGACGGAACCGGTAACAAAAACGGCGTCGGAACCGGTTAAAAAGACGGCTCTGTCGTTTCCAGGGCCCACTAAAGGGAAGTCGCGTGTCTGGGACCTGGGAAGAGAACTGCGCTGAGGAACTTCTGCTCGGCTCGTCGCTGCGGCGGCCCTGGCGACACGCGATGGCTTGCACGCGGATGGCGTGTCGCCCCGCTCCGCGGGGGGGGGGGGGGCGGGAGGAGGAGGAGGAGGAGGAGGAGGAGGAGAGGAGGAGGAGGAGGAGGAGGAGGAGAGGAGGAGGAGGAGGAGGAGGAGGAGGAGGAGGAGGAGGGAGGAGGAGGAGCGTGGTGCTTTTGGGGACGTGGGACGTGGGCAGCGCGTCGCGACCGAAGCGAGGGGGGCCGGCACCGGGTGGCGCGGCACGCTCGGCCAACGGACCGTACGCTGAAGTCGGGCCTGTCCCCCTACGGCAGGTTCGTGTCGTGTCGACCCCGGCGTTGGTTTTTGACACCGCAGGGATCGTTCAACCTTGAACGATCGGCCGCTGCCGCAACGTCCGATCGTTCAACGTCGATCGATTCTGGGCCGCCGGCGGCGTTCAACCTTGAACGCCCGCGCTGGGGTCGCCGCTGGTCGACACGACGCAAACCTACCGTACAGGGGGATTTCCGACGAAGAGAAAAAAATGCACCCAAAATAACAAAAAACTGTCCCACAATAGTCTGGGGACTATTTCTGCCAGCATTTCTGTTCTTTGGGGGTATATTTGTGGGTTTTTTTATCTTATGCTTCGTCGAAAATCCCCCCTGCGGGGGGAGGCCCGACATAACCGCATGCGTGCCGCAAGGACCAGGCCGCGGAGCTCGCCGCGTGCACGCCCGACTCGACGAGCTCCCCCGAGCGTCCGAGCCGTCACCCGAGCGCTGCGGCTGCACCGATCTCGAGCGCGTCCGGCCGAGGGTCCCGCCCCCGACGGCGCTCGCGGCCGGCGCTCGCCGGGCACCGTGCGAGGCGCGAGCGAGAGCCGCGAGCGGGCTGCGCCATGGCAGGGCGGTGGCGACTTCTGGAAGGCCCCCTGCCTTCTCGGCCGCCCTTCCCTCCCCCCCGCCCCGACCCCCGCTGCAATCGGGTGCTCGCCCACGGGGGGAGCAACACGGGTGGGGTGAAGAGGCGCGCCTCGTGGGCCCGCGGGGGCGGTTCGGGGGCCTCGTCGCCGCGTGGGTCCACGCGGCGCGAGCCCAATGATCGTACGCCCCTGCACGCCCCTGTGCCCTCTGCCCACCCCCTGAGATCCGAAGCTGCGGGAAAAAACAAATCGCAGCATCGCGGGAAGCCACGGCTGGAGCGCCAGAGTCCGTCCTTCTGCTGCGTCGGGCCAGAGCGGTCTGCGATGGGGGGCCGAAACCGGGCGAAAACGCACGGGCCCGGCATGAGAAAATTGCAACGCCCAAGTTTCGGGGATCGTCGGAGGTTTCGGTCTTCGGGCCACAGCTCGGGCCTCCGGCCTCCAGCGGCCGCTCGGGACGGCGTCGGCGACCCCCCAAACGCTCTCGGCACGGCGGAGCTGCTGGGAAGCAGCCCGAGGTGTCGCAGAGCTCCAGGAGGCGACAGACATCTCCGCAGCCTTCCGCGAGGCTTCCGACGCGCCGCCGGGCACCGTGTCGAAGCCGCTGTCGAAGCGGTCGGGCAGCGCGGCGAGCCCGAGGGTCTCCAGCACGCGCACGAGCTCCTCGTCGCTGGGCTGCTCCGCGGGCAGCGGGGGGCCGCCGCCGGCGCGGCCGCCCTCGCCCGCGCCCTCCTGCAGGGGGGCAGAGGCCGATGGTCCCCGGGACGCCCAGGCGCCGTCCTCCTCCTCCTCCTCCTCCTCCTCCTCCTCCTCCTCCTCCTCCTTCTCCTTCTCCTTCTCCTCCTCCTCCTCCTCCTCCTCCTCCTCCTCCTCGCGTGCCTGTCCACAGGAGCTCCTCGATAGGGCAGGGTGGCGATGGCAGCCGAAAGCGTGCTCAAGAAGGCTATCACCCAGAAAACCTGTGCCAGCTTCCCAGCAGCCGAAAGCATGATCAATATTGCGATCACTCAGAGAACCTGCGCCAGCTTCCCGGCAGCTTCTGAGGCCAAGCCTGGGCCGAGGTCTGCTGCTCACGCTGGAGGGGCGAGCGCACTCCAAAAACCGGGCCGGCTTTCCAGCAAGCTGGTCAAGGAACGCTTTCCCGGCTGTCGTAAAAAAATGCTCGCCTGTCGTAAAAAAATGCGGGGGGGGGTCCAGGCCTGTCGGCCCGTCTGGCCCGTCGGCTGTCCAGGCGCGCGCCCGACGAGGGCGGGCAGGCACGAGCAAAAAGTAATTAGTTTCCCGGCCGGGGGCCCGGTAGTATTCGAATCATCACCCTGGGCGCCGCCGCGTGAACACGACCCCCGGTACAGTCGGGGCCTCGACCTAAGGAACCCAACATAAGGAACGAGGCCCCTTTTTCTCCAGAAGTGAAACTGCGATTTCCGATCGAGAACATAAGGGAAAACCTCAGGCAAGCTGCGAAACACATAAGCAACGCGGAGCCCCTCCCCAACGAAAAGGGTTCCTTCCTCAGACCTAGGGAGCCCACAAAGGACGTACGCGCCCAGCTATGTACATGAACACGGCCCCTCGATTCGCGAGACCGGCCGCGTGATACGAACATTTGTGCAATGCGCGCTCTCGAAACCAGCGTGGATTCATGTACATGTACGTCCTTCTTTCGCTCCTGAAGACCCCCGGTAACTTCTCAACCGCCACCCGGCACTGCGACGCGGGCGGCGCAGGGAGGGCCGGCACCGGCGGCGTGCCATCGCGGCCGACCGTGGCCACACACGCACTCCCACAGCCAGGGCCCCGCAAACCCAGACACGCTAGAGACCCAGAAGCACCAGACCCGGTTTCCTTGGTTTTCCGTGTCCTGGTTTTTGGGCGTGGCTTAAAATGGGGGGGTCATAGATGGGGGCGTCAGAAACGGTCCCCTTTCCTGCCCCATTTCGGGCCCCTCCGGAGCCCCAGTGGGCTCGTTTAGGTACCGTTTGGGTACCTTTTCGGACCATCCTCGCCACCCCCCCATTTATGATCCCCCCATCACGTGACGCCCAAGGTTGATCTGTGTCCTGGCCTCCGGGGGCCTGACACACCCTTTTCCCCTCCCCGCCGGCTGGTCGAACGAGGGGAGCGCTGGGGCGGGGCACGCCTGTAGGCCGCTTCTCTCGCCGAGCGTCTGCCCGCGGGTGGTCAGGACGTTGGCGGGGAGAGGAGGCGCGTCGCAGTCATGACGCGTCGTTGCCCCGGACGGGCCACGAAGCTTCCTGGAAGAAGCCGACGAAACGCTGGGCCAGGGCGAAGTGGGGAGGCTTCTCGACGAAGAGTGCAGTCAAGGGATGGGGAAACATATATAAACTGAATAAGCGACATAACCATGTGGTAGACGCTCACGTCAATATGAAAACTTCCACCAACCGAGACAAGAACATAATACATCCAGAAGAGGAAGTACATGTAGCCGACCTCGAACTGCAAAGCATGATCAATATCAGGTATGTCAAACGACTGCATTCGCAAACTCGCAACAAGAAATGATGACTCCAGCTGCGATCCAGAAGGTACCAATACCGCTACTCCCCGGATCTCTCCCTGGGGTGCGTCGTGGCCAAGCCCCAACAAGGGAAACGAGGGAGGGGTAGCGGTGGGGGCACCCTGGGGATGGCGACCCATCCTCATCGCAAGTTTTTGGCTGTGCCGCCGGGCTGCTGAGATGAGGACCGCCGAATAAAGAATCAAGCCCCGTGTTGGCACCAGAGGGGCCTGGGTGGCACGAGGAGGGGTGGAGGAACCACCACGGAATGACCCCAGGAGCAGCGACGACCTTCCGAACCCAAAGGGGTCCTTGTTGCAGCGCCTTGACTGTACCATCGAGACACGAGAAAAACATAAACGTAATTCCTTGGAGGTCCGCGCGGAAATGCCCTTTGCGAAGGAGCCCAGGGACACACACACACACACACATCGACACAACCCCCAAGATGCCCCATGTATTCTGCATGTTCTGGAGATTCGTCTTCCCCTACACTTTCCATGCTGTCCAATATTTTCCGGGGGATCGAAGATTTGTTGTGACCGTGCCGAATTTGTCCCCCACGACATTGTTGCTCCCAGATTTCGGTTTTGGACTACCGAGAACAAATGCCCTGCGGGCCCGCGATCGCCCCTGCCGCGAGCGCTGGAAGAGGCCACGGCCCCGAGCCCCGCGCAGCATCGCGGAGCGCACCGCTGGCCGAGCAGCTGCGGGCCCCGAGGCTGGCCCGCAGCAGCTCCTGCGACTCGAGCGCGGGCCGAAGATCGGCCCCCCGCCCCGGGCCTGCACGGTCTCCCCCCGGGGCCGCAGGCGACCCGAGGAGGAGGAGGAGGAGGAGGAGGAGGAGGAGGAGGAGGAGGAGGAGGAGGAGGAGGGAGGAGGAGGAGGAGGAGGAGGAGGAGGAGGAGGAGGAGGAGGAGGAGGAGGAGGAGGAGGAGGCGGTGGGGAACCCCCCTTCTCCGTCCTTCCTGAGTCTGGCGTGGCCTCTCAGCGTGGCCTCGACTCCTCAGTAGTGCGGCCTCGGCGCCGGCTGTCTCGAACGTGAAAGATACCCGCACCCTTACCCAGGCGGGGTGGCAAAGGGCGGGGGGAGCGACGCGCCGCAGCCGACGGCGGTTGCACAAAAGCAGATGCGACGGCCCATGGAACATTATAGGACGCTGTTTTCTCCGGGCATCCGCTGGCACCGAAGGCGCGCGCGTTCCAATCTGCAGAGTGGCCGACCACGCATTGGTCGCTCTCGGGCTAGAACAACTCGTTCGGAGGTGCGCCCATGAAGGCGCACAATCAATCGTTTGGGGCTCGACGCGCAAAATGCGTCCTGGGTGTCCTGGGCGGGCGCCGCTGCAATCCCGCGCTCGCCCCTAACGCTTGGGGCCCCGAGCGCCAGGTGCGGTCGCCAGGGGCTGTTCCCTGGAAAACCCGCGCGGCGTCACCCCAGCTAGGTCCGGGTAGGTGTCGGGGGGGCACAGTCGCCGACGCGCGTTGATGGTGCCCCCGGACACGCACCCGCACCTAGTCGAGGTGGCGTTTGGTCGAAATCGCTCTCGGGCGCGCGCGCGGCCCCCGAAAGCGCTCCCGAACGCGGCCGCAGCGGCCCCCGGGGGAGCGCGAGATTGCAACGACGCTCCTGCGGGTAGGCCCAAACGCAACGGAGCGGTGGTGCCTGTCCCCACATGGGACAGGCAGCACCACTCAAATGCTGTTCTAACCCCCGCGGACACCCCCGATGCCCCCAGACATCCCTGACGCAAACCAGGGCATGTCGCTGCAATCAAACAACCAGCCGTTCAGCGTGTCGTTGCGCCCTGACGCGCGGATGATGAAACAGCGCGCACGCGGCAGACTGATCGGGCGCAGTGGGTTTGTTTAGGACCAATGAGGCTGGCCTCAGCAGGCCCCCCGAGCAGCAGTCCTGGGCGGTCCCAGCACCCCAACCCTTGGGCGATGCGCGCTCCCCGGAGGCGCCGCCGGGATACCGAGACTGCTCCGGGCTGCTCGGGCGGGGCCTGTCGAGGCCAGCTGGGCCTCCTCGGGGGGCCTGCTGGGGCCGGGAGGGGACCCCCTGGGCCTCGCCGTCAGAACTGAGAGTAAGGACGAGAAGGGCCCAGCAACCTGGGCCATCCCAGTGCGCGCTGGATCCACTGGCCCTCCCAACGGAGGAGGGAACCGCTCCACTCTCAGCCCTCCTTCCTCCTCTCTCTCCATTCTTTGTACGAGGTACCCTGAGTTGCAGGCCCTCCCAGGACGGGTCTGGCCGCTAGGGTGGAGCGAGTGGTTGTGGTGGCGACAGCCCAGGCGTTCGGCCACCCTTCTCCCTCCCCTCTCTCGTTCCCCGGAAGCTGTGCTACACAAATGCTCCAAATGCTCCACATGTTCCGAGGTACCCTGACATCCGACGTTGAGCAAAAAATGCAACATCGCAGAACATCAGAACCAGAGCCCCATACCCCATGCTTCTGCGGCACTTCTCAAGCGGGATCGATCTGTGACGGTCTCAGAACCTAGCGAAACCGCCCGGAGTTTCAAAACATGTCAACGCCAGGGAAGGGAATGATTGGGCACCCTGCCTTACAGTCGGACCGAGACTAGAAGAACATCCCTCAAGAACATGAGACCCTCCGTCGACCACAACAACCAGACCATCCATCCAAGGGTACCACTCCCCAGGATGCATAAGAACATCAAACAAACACGAAGAACACTACATAGGGTACCCTCCCGAACTGACCTCGATCTTATACCTCGGTCCGACTGTAGCTGATGCAGACGAAGGGGGCGTGTTTTTTGTTTTTGTAAAATCATTCTCGTATTTTCGGTGTTCGGCAAACCAAAACTGAAAAGACGGCAGCCCAAGACACAAAAACATAACAACAAAAACACAGCTGCACTAAAACGTAACCGAACCGACAAGGGCACGAAGGAGACTCCCCGAACGAGAAAACACTGACCCCCAAGGGGGACAACAGAAACGCCGACCTCGAAAACGGAACCACACGCCCCCAGCGTGCTCCCGAGATCACCTGAGCACCCCGTTTCCTGGAGAGTCGCGCCAATGGGGCCAGGGGCCAGGGGCTCGACTGCGTATCGCCCTCTCGACCACCTCCGCAGGACGGGCTCCTCATCCCGAGCCGCGTCCTGACGGCCCCGAGGCCCGGGAAGGTCCCCGAGAGGCCGCAAACATTGCACATAAAACAGGGCTAGGATCGGGATGAATCGCTCCAGAGCGTTCCGGAGCGCTCTCAGAGCGTTCCGGAACGCTCTGGAGCGGCCGCGGCGCCCAATACATCCTCCAAGCCCGCCGATGCTCAGAGACTTCGAGTTCTATCCCGATCCGATGTTGTCCCGATCTTCGCGTCGTTTTAGCACAACCTCCGCCCCGGTGTGTTTCCTCGAGCCGCCGGACGCCAGGGACCATCCGTCACCCGGCCGGCCCTCGTGCCGCCCGGCTCGATGCCCGTCGCCGCAGGGCCCGCGGCCCCGCGCAGGAGCGCGGGCCCGCCTCGCGGCGCCCGCCTCTCGGCGCCGAGCGCGCCACGCCGGCGGCCCCGCGGCGCCCTCGGCGCCGAAGCTGGTGGCGCGAGCTGGTCGGCCAGGCGGCCGGCGCCCGCCGCTGGCCAGGAATGCGGCTCCCGAGGTCCGGCCGCTGCAGCTAGAGAGGAGCCAGCTCTTGGGCGAGTTTTTCGCTCGGGCCTAGGGGCCCGGGGAGCCGCACGGCTATCGACGCGGCTCGCAGGAAACGCCGGGGGGGGCCAGGGCTCCATAGGCAGGATGCCTCGCGACGCGGCGTGTTATCCTCCGCAGCGGCGTCGGATCTCGGGGGGGCGGCCATGGCCAGGCAGCCATATGTCCAGGCGTGGGCGGGCCAAGCCTATGGGCCCAGGGTCGAGGCGTCTGCACCCTCCCGGCCTGGCCAGGAAGGCGTACACCACTCCGACCCTGGTCCCCAGACATCGGGCGTCTCGAAAAAATCGAGACAAAGGTCTTTCATCGTTTTCGGCCTTTGGAGGCCCTCGCCGGGCCTCGGGGCCGTCAAAAAACGTTTCGGGATGAAGAACCGGTCCCGGGGAAGTGGTCGGGAGGTTTGGGGCCCGTGTCTCGAAAAAATCGAGACGTCGGATGTCTGGGTCCCAAGGTCGGCCCGGCGAGAAGCGGCGTATAGGCGTATACTCTTGGCGTCCCCGGGAGGCTGGTCATGCCGCTTCCAGCAGCGAGCGTGCCTTGGCGGACTCGACCCTCCAGAGGCTGAAGAAGCCGAGCTGCCCGGGGACGAACAGCCACAGCGGGAACCACAGCAGCCAGTACCACACGAGCCCCATGAGGAGGGGCCAGAAGGCGTCCACGATGTTCGGCTTGGCGGACAAAAACGCAATCGCCACAGAGCAGGCGCAGCACGCGAGCACGAACATCAGACAGGCGCAGCAGTTGTGCAGGCACTCGCACAAGAGCCTGCAGCTGGGGCACGCAGCCCCGGCCACCGAGCACTGGTACAGAACGACGCCGACGATGCAGTTGGGGAGGGTGATGAGGCTGAGGGTGAGGATCTTGTCGGCGACCTTGCCCAACAGCACCGACGAATCCTTCACATGGCCCTGGATACGGCTGGGGCTGTGCTGTTCTCGGGACACGCCTCGACGCGGTGCGATAGAAAACATGCAGCCGAAAACAGAGCCGCTCCCCAAGATGGGAGCGGGCAGCCGAGGTCACCAAGACCCGATATTATCGTGGCCTGAGCGCGGATTCATGCACAGTATCCGCTCTGGCTTCCACCGTTCGGGTCGGAGCAGGAGGGGAACCAGGCTAGGTGTTGGCAACAGGCGGGGGCACATGGGCACAAGACATGGACGAAGAAACAGCGATAGCAAACTCGCCGATGGCGTGAACAGAACATTGTCGAATGGGGAAAAAAGCCAGGATTACAGAACTGACAAGTGAACGCCGACACTCCTACTGGCCGTGCCCAGCCTGGGCCCTGGATTGGTGTACACTTACACAGCGCATGCGAGTAGACCGTCCTGTTCAAGCCTATGGAGCTCTGTGCAACAATCCTGGGCCCAGAAGAGAGAGGTCTGGCCAATGTCGGTGCCGGTGTGCAGCTTGCAGCTCTAAATGGTCAAGCACAAGGACTAACAACGCTTGCCAGAGTGGACCCAAACAGTGAGTTGTTGCACTGTAAAGGTGGAGGCTAAGCGGCGCAATCGCTACACGTGTCTACAGATGAGCACCTGCTACGATCTGTGCGGTGTGAGCTGCGTGGCGCAGGCTTGTAGCGCGATGTACGTGGTACGACCCAGGTGGTGTGAGCTCTGTGGTGCAACACACGCGGCGCAGGCTGTGCGGTGCACGAGCTATCCGCCCGGTGCATCAGGCACACAAGCTCGGAGCCCAGCGAACCTCGGCACCCCCCCCCCGGCGCACGGGGCGCCCGCGTGGCGCCCCACGGCCCGGCAGCGACCGGACACCGAGCGAAGCCTCGCCAGGCCAGCCCGGCACACCAGGCGCCCACGAGGCACCAGACCTCGACGAACCCACCCGACGCACGGGGCGCCCACGAGGCGCCCACGACCGGGCACCACCTGGGCCCCAGGCGAAGCCTGGCTCCACCCCGCGCGCGGGGCGTCGACGAGGCGCCGAAGAGAAGGGCACCAACCGCCGGGCACCAGGTGAAGCCTTGACAGGCCCCCGAATGCAAGCACGGAACGGATTGGGAAAAAAGGCCCCCGACGTGTCCAAGGCCACCCGAACTCCCTCTCGCCTCCCTGTCAGTCTCGGTTATCGCCGCGATCGCCGCGGTGGCGGGGAGCGAGAAGAGCATGGAGAGCACCAGTTGCACCAGTCGCAACTTCTTGCTCCAGGGGTGATTGGGATGCGAAAGGAATAGCCCGAGGATCGGGTGCCACTGCATGTAGAAGTAGAGCATGTCTATGCACTGATCGCCAGACCAATAGTAGCTGTTCGCCAGGTCGAATTGAAGCCTGTGGTAGAACGGTGCCTCCTTGGCAACTTCGCCCTCTCCGCCACAATGCCAGTACATCGTGGCCGCTTTGCCATTTGGATAATCATGCCATCCAGGTCTCGTTGATTCCTGCGCTTTCGTGTAGGGCTTCCACCATTGCATGAGGGAGCCCAAATAGCCATTATTATGCTGCGGGTCGTGCTCGCCATTCTCGTCCTTGCCTCCACTGGGGCTCTGGACAAGAGCGTCCTGTGGTCCTTTGTCCATTGCCTTGAGCAGCGTCGCCTTCCGTGTGAAGCGTCAGGCGTCTCAGCTCGAGCGATTCGAGCAAATAGACTCCTGACCACATGGTTGCGGAACTCCTTTGCAGAGGCGGTGAGGTGACAGAGGGAAGAGGCGGAGGAAGTGGGAGAGGGGAAGCCTGATATGGATAGGAAGCAGGAAGCGGGATGTGCAAGGGATGGGGAGAGGGAGAGGGAGAGGGAGGTGAAGGTTCCACATTTGGATGCAGACTCAACTCAGATGGTTCGCTTTGTGGTTGTATGCCAAGATGCACCCGTGGACCCCTGATTGCCTCTGGCTTGACTCATCCTTGCGCGTGGACCCCACATGGTGACAGGGCGCATAGAGGAAGAACGTACTGCATGTACAAAACATTTTGGAGGTCCGTGCGGGTATCGTGGCTCCGCGCCGGATCCCCGTCCATGGCGCGCGGAGCGCGCCAGGGGCGGAGCCGGAGGCGACGCCAGGGGGCCCCAGCGCAGATCCACGAAATCCGCGAGGACCTCTGACAAATTATTTGTATGACGTCTTCTCTTCCTCGAGTGCAGTCTCCAGAATGCAGCCTCTGGGGCCAGCGCTCGTCATGACGGGTAAGGAGCGGCTCCAGGAGGAGAGCTGTCAGAGGGGGCGGGGAGCCAAAAGGGAGAAGTGCACGCATTTGGAGATCGTGCAATTGCCAGGCATAGCTGGACGTCCAGGTGAAGGCACGAGAGCACATAATCTACTCGATAAGTCGGATCGGCGATCGGAATGAATCAGATCGGCGCAAATCGGCAGCCGAGTCGGGAGAGGGCCGGCGGCCTGGCAGAGCGCGGAAAGGGGGGGCGGGCGGCAGGCCACGGCCTGCAAGAGCACGAGCAGCTGCCGGGCGGGGGCGGGCAGGATGAGAGCGGGGGGGCGAGGTGGCGGGAGAGCGACAAAGTGTGGGGGGGGGCGTGGGGCAGAGGGAAAGTGGGGGGGGGGGGGCAGAGGGGAAGACCTGGAGGGGAGCTGGAGCGGAGCGTGCCGGTTCAGCGCGCGCGCGCGCGTGGCCCGCACGGTGCTGTGAACGGCACGCGTGCGCACGGGCTCCTGCAGGTCGGGTAGGCAGATGTAAGCAAGGCGTGGAGGGCATCCTCCAAAGATTCGCGTGGGAAATCATCCATTCATCACTGCGTGTGTGAAGAACTTGAAGCAAGTGCGTTGAGCAAAAGCATGCCTGGGATTGCTGATGAATAAGTTACGCATTTTCGTTGGACACCCCTGCTAGACGAACTGGAAATACATTGGCTCGTGACACATAGGTGAAGCCACTTGTCAACTAACAGTCATGCTCACATGGTGAGCAATGACGCAGTAACGTGTATTATGTACTACATGCCGAGCGAAGATGATGCGAATATGTTGGAAACAACAGTGGGCTGTCGGACCGTCACGCCGCGATCTACTTGAGGGGCGCATTCGGTTCTGAAAAGATTGACCACCTCCCACGCGAATCTGCCAACCCTCCCACAGACACATACCACACCGCACCGCACCGCACCGCACCGCACCACACCACACCACACCACACCACACCACACCCACACCCACACCCACACCCACACCCACACCCACACCCACACCCACATCCACACCCACACCCACACCCACACACCCACACCACTCCACTCCACGCCACACCACACCACACCACATACACACACGCACATGCACACACGCACACACACACACACACTCTCACACACACACACACACACGCGCGCGTGCGCCACTAATCGCCTCCCAGCCCTATTGTCTCGGAGGGGTCCGCACGAGAATTGCACAGGCAAGATACGTACGCGCGCAGCTCACAGCATGTCATCGGGCAGAGAAAGCGCCCGAGCCGGATCCGTCGGCCCCGTCTGGCCCGGCGGGGCTCGAGGCCAAGGGCCCATCGCAAAGCGGAGGAGGATCGAAGAGGATCGAGGAGGAAGGAGTGGGGGGAGGAGGAGTAGGAGTCGGAGTAGGAGGAGGAGGAAGAGGAGGAGGAGGAGGAGGAGGAGGGAGGAGGGGAAAAAGGGCGGGGGGGCAAGGGACGGCGAGTCTCCCCAGGAGCCGCGGCGCTGGGGTAGAGCAGCTGGGAGCGCAGGTCGCCCAGCGGCATGTAGGGCCTGCGGGAAAGCACTGCGCAAACTTCCCCCGTGAGGAAGTCCGTCCAGCCAGCCCCTCCTCTTTCCCCATCTCCATGTTGAAAGCCCGATGGCGAAAATTGCCAGCGTCCCAACTGATGGGAAGGGGACTCCAGCATGCAGAAGGAGGAGGAGGAGGAGGAGGAGGAGGAGGAGGAGGAGGAGAAGGAGGAGGAGCAGCAGGACGACCGATCCCCAAGCGACCTACTGTGACTGCATTGTCTTCAGCTCCCCCTTCGTTGGTTTTCGCGGAAGAATTCGGGTATCTGGCGGCCGTTCGGGGCGATTCGGGCAGCCACAGAAAACCCTTTGCGAGGCGCAGCTGCTGGAGAGCATCCCGAGGCAAGGACACCGACAAGAACCAGCGAACAACTTTGAACACTTTAACGTTTGTCCTCCTCCTCCTCCTCTTCCTCCTCCTCCTGTCCCTCTTCCATTTCTCTTTTCTCCTCCTCCTCCTCCTCCTCCTCCTCCTCCTCCTCCTCCTCCTCCTCCTCCTCCTCCTCCTCCTCCTCTCCTTCGCCTCGTCATCTCCTTCTTCTCCCCTCCTGACTCCTGACCCTTCCCCCATGCGGTGCGGCCGCTGCGGCAAGAACATCGTCTGCCCCACGGGCGGCCGGATCACTTCGCCGTGCCCCCGCGTCCACAGGCCAGCGACGACGCGGAGCACACTGCTCTTGCCTCGGGCGGGGTGTTGAGCAAAACGGGGAGGAGGGACGAGGAGGAGGAGGAGGAGGAGGAGGAGGAGGAGGAGGAGGAGGAAGAGGAGGAGGAGGAGGAGGAGGAAGGAGGAGCGTAGAAAAAACGGAAGGAGGAGGAGGAGGAAGCGGAAATGGGAGAAGGGGAACGAGGATGATGCTGACGATGTCCCAGAGAGGGACGCAAGCGACTCCACCACCGCCACTACCGCAAGCGCAAGCGCCAACACCGCCATATCACCACTACTCCCATCACTCCACAACCGCCACCTCGAGCTCTTGGTCGCATGTCGAGGGGAAGACAGGCACTTTTTTACTGCAGATCAGGCGGCCGTTCGAATCGGTCGGGCACAACAGGGCTGTTGCGGAGCTGGCTTGTGCACAAGAGCGGCCGAGGAGAAGGCGAGCGGCGGCCGCGGAGGAACAGAAAAAAAACGACCCCTTCATACCATGTAGGACTTGTACCGGCGCGCTGCGGCTCAGGCTCTGCCGGGCTGCTGAAAATACGGCGCGGAAATGAAGGAAAAGGAAAAGGACGGACACAGGCGTCTTCGCCGTAGCCAATGGTGCAATCGCCAACATTACCGCACCACCACCACCACTTACACATCACTTCCAGCACCGCCACCCCGAGCTCCGTTTGTCCAGGGCGCCCGATGGGCATGAACCAAACAACGCAGCAACATTCACCTCACGCGGCATGCCTTAATGATGCGCAAGTGGGCCCGCGGAATACCGCACGGCTCGCGACACTGAGCTCGCTTCGTTGTTGGGGGACTATGAAGATAACGAAAGCCCCCTCATGGATTACGCATATGGGACAACAGGAGAAGCAGCAGTAGAAACAGCACGAGCAGGACTTGGAGCACGACGCGGGTGTGGAGGACGAGGACAAGAACGATGCCGTGGAGCATGAGAACTAGAGGGGCGTGAGGACGAGAAGGATCAGGAAGACAAGGGGGGAAACGAAAAGAGCCCAGAAAAAAGGACGAGGACCATGAGACTCCAGGAGCATCCAGTGGAGAGCCGCGCCGGGCAAGTTAGACGAGTGCGACGCACGGCGCGCCCGGGGCTTGGCCGTGGGGTAGGAGAACCTCGACCCCGAGCTGACAAAGAGTCATCGACCACAGAGCACAGCCTGCATGCGATGACCCCGCCGCAGTGTAGGATTGGCGGCGCGCTCAAGGGGCTGACGCGAGAGGAGCGGCCTTGAAGGAAGGCGGGGTGCCTCTTGGAAGTGAGCAGGGCAACGATCGCGTCGGGAGGAAGGGGATGGGAAGATACAGGGCACGACTGCGTCATAAACACACTCAGCATGAGCGGCAATACGGATGACGTAACCACTCCTCCCAAGGCGGAGGCGGAAGGGGGAGGAGCAGGAGGCGGAGGGAGAGGGGGAGGGGGAGCGGGAAGGGGAGGGGGAGGGGGAGGAGGAGGAGGAGGAGGAGGAGGAGGAGGAGGAGGAGGAGGAGGAGGAGGAGGAGGAGGAGGAGGAGGAGGAGGAGTAGGCGGAGGAGGAGGATTAGGTTAGGCTCGCCACTAGACCCGCCACCCCGAGCAGGCACAGAAGCCCCCACTCGACATGGCGAGCCCGTGGTTTCAGTTTCAGCATGCTCCACCGCCGCTCGCAGGCCCTCTGGCCTGCGAGGGCCCACTCCTTGGTGCCAGCGCTGGCACACAAGGGTTCACGTCGGCGGGCCCGCGAGCGGCGGCGGCGGCGTCAGGCGCACAGGGCTGCGCCCGCGACACGCCGCTGGCGGCGAGCTCCACGACGTCCTCCTCGTAGAGCTCCTGCTCGAAGTACACTTTGCGGCCTAACCCCTCGCCGCGCAGGGGAAAACTGTGGCCTAACCCCTCGCCACGCAGGGGAAAACTGCGGTCTAACCCCTCACCGCGCTGGGGTTGGTGGCCTAACCCCTCGCCACGCAGGGGGTGTGTGCGGTCTAACCCCTCACCGTGCTGGGGATCGCCTGACCCCGCAGTCTCGCCCTGCGAGGGTCGGCTGCGGTCTAACCCCTCACCGCGCTGGGGTGGGACGTACTGCTTTCCGTACTGCTCCCTCTCATTGGCGCGGTCTAACCCCTCACCGCGCTGGGGTGCTCTCCTCCACTCGGAGGGGTCGTCGGGCTGCCCCTGGATCGTGGTGATCGGGTCGTGGTGCCCTGGGGGCCGTACCCCCACTATCTCCTGTCCATCATGACGCCGCCCTTCGACCCTTTGTTCTCCTTCTCCTCGAGGGAGCCCTTGATCGTCGATACGGCCTAACCCCTCGCCGTGCTGGGGTGCAGCGTCGTCGTCCTCCTCGTATAGCTCGAGCTCGATGTAGTCGCCAGCCGCGGCCCTGGCTAACCTGCTCGAGCACGCCAGAAGGAGGACGAGGAGGAGGAGGAGGACGAGAACGAGGACGAGGAAGAAGACGAGGACGAGGAGGAGAAGGCGGAGGAGCAGGAGGAAAAGGAGGAAGAGGAGGAGGAGGAGGAGGAGGAGGAATCCCATCCGCCCAACCTGGTACCTCGCCTTTCTGGAGGAGGCGGGGGCCACGAGGGCGGGCGGCCTCGAAGAGGCCCCCCCGCCTCCTCAGAAGCCCCCCCCCCCCCCGAGGCCTCTGCGAGGGCCGCCCCCCTCGCGCCGGCCCCGTCGAGGGCGCGCCGCCGAGGGCAGCAACTGACTGCACCCCTGCTTGGAGTTAGGGCCTCTTGCCGCTCAGGAGAACGGTATTCGTTCCGAGCGTTGTGCCAAACAGCAGTCCAGGCCCAGGCCCAGAGACACGAAGAGCTTCTGGGCGACATCTGGAGCCCGTGAGCGTTGGTGATGTTGCTTCCGACTTCTGATGGGTGCAGACGCAAACCCCCGCACGCCCTATAGATTTCCCAGAGTTATTTTTCTGGATGACCATCTTCCCCTCCACTTCCCATAGTTTCCATCTTCCTCCTGGGGATCGACGATTCATTGTGTGTGTTTGCTTTTCCCGTCCAGGACTGAGTACGGACAGACCTTCGGAGATCCGCGCGGAGTTCGAGGGTCGGCGTTGGACCCCCTCTGCGGCGCCTCGAGTGCCCCCCCGAAAGCGGCCCAGCGCCGACCCCAGAACTCCGCGCGCACCTCCGAACCTTTACGCCCGTGCGTCTGTTTTGCTCCTCGAGTCGAGGGGGGCAGGAGCACGAGGACGAGGACGACCTCTGACGGCCCAGAGGTCCGCCGATGCTCCCCCCCCAGAGGTCGACCAGTGGTGACACACCTCTTCGATCTCGCCCGCCCGCCTGCTTCGGTCCCGCCGGCCCCGGCCTCCCGCCCGCGCGTTCGACGTCGGACGCTCGCCTCTCCTTCCCCCCCTTCTCCTTCCCCTCCTTCTCCTTCCCCTTCTTCTCCTTCCCCTTCTTCTTCCCCTTCTTCTCCTTCCCCTTCTTCTCCTTCCCCTTCTTCTCCTTCCCCTCCTTCTCCCTTCCGCCGCCGCGCAGCGCAGACTGCCGGGAGCCCGCGGCGCCTCCGCGAGAGGCACTGGCGAACTGGCGGGCCCGACTGCAACCTCCTCGATCCTCGAACCTCGGTCGATCTACCGACGCCGACGCCGACGCCGACGAGAACGACGACGCCGACGCCGACGCCGATGCCGACGACGACGACGCGACGACGACGACGACGACGGCGACGACGACGACGACGACGACGACGGCGACGAGCTCAAGCAGCGCACTGGGCGCGCTTCGAGGCCCAGGCCCGCGCCGGACGGGCCCACCACCAGCAGCCGCTCGGGGCTCGGCCCCGTGGGGCCCACGACGAGGCTCAGGTCCTGCACCTGCAGGGCAGGCGGCGGCATTCGCAGGAGACTCCTGCTACCCCACATCCTCCTCTTCTTCATCCTTCTTCCTCTGCTTCTGTGCTGCTGCTGCTGCTCCTCCTCCTCCTCTCTCCTTCTCATTCCCCTCCCCCTCCTCCTCCTCCTCCTCCTCCTCCTCCTCCTCCTCCTCCTCCTCTTTCTTTTCCTCTTACTTCTTCTCCTCCTCCTCGTCATCATCATCATCATCATCATCATCATCATCATCATCATCATCATCATCATCATCATCATCATCATCACCATCAACAGCCTCATCATTGTCATAGTCATCGTCATCGTCATCGTCATCGTCATCGTCATCATCATCATCAGCATCATCAATACCATCAAGCCCATCATCACCACGATGGCCATCTTTTATCGTCATCATGAGCATCATCGGCATTGCCATGATCATCACCATCACCATCGCCATCGCCATCGCTATCGCCACCACCATCATCATCATTAGCATTATCATCATCATCAGCATCATCTACACCATTGTAATCATCGTCACCATCATCGTTATCGTTGGAAACGTCGTCGTCGCCGCCGCCGTCGACGGCGTCGCCGTCGCCGTCACAGCCGCTGCTGTCGCTGTCGCCGTCCAGGTCGTCGTCATCACCATCATCACCATCAACATCGCCATCATCATCATCATCATCACCATCACCAACACCATTATCATCACCATCATCATCATCATCATCATCATCATCATCATCATCCTCATCATCATCCTCAGCATCATCATCACGATCACGATCACCATCATCATCATCGTCGTCGTCATCATCATCGTGATCATGATCATCATCATCGTCATCGTCGTCATCATCATTATCATGATCCTCCTCATCGTCATCCACATCATCATCACCTACATCATCATTAACATTATCATCATCATCATCATCATCATCATCATCATCATCATCATCATCATCATCATCGCCAACATCTACGTTAGCATAACGATCATAGTCGCCATCAGGAGCATCCTCATCGTCGCCATCATCATAATCACACTGATCATCATCACCTGCATGATCATCTTAATCACCACCGTCATCAAGGCCACCACGATCATCGTGATCACCCCTATCATCATCAGCAGCATGGTCATGAACAACGTCATCATCTTTTTACCATCAAAATCCTCATCATCATCAACAACAGCATCACCAGCAGCAAAATCGCCATCATCATCATCATCATCATCATCATCAGCATCATCATCCTCATTCTCACACTCATCCTCATCCTATCATCTTCGTCGTCGAAATTATCACCGTCACAATCATCATCATCATCATCATCATCATCATCATCATCATCATCACCATCATCATCACCATCGGCATACTCATCATCATAATCACCACCATTTTCATGGTCATTGCCATCGCACTCGCCATCCACACCGCCATCGCCATCATCATCATCACCATCATCATCATCAGGAGCATCCTGATGATGATCATCATCAAAATCAGCGTCATCATCATCATCATCACATGCATCATCACCACTACTATCAGCATCACCATAATGACCATCATCAGCATCATCGTCCTCATCCTCCTCCTCCTCATCGACATCATTATCATTGCAAACAGAATCTGCATCCGCATCCTCATCCTCATCCTCATCAAACTCCTCGTCCTCATCCTCACCCTCGTCTTCATCACCATCCTCGACATCATCATCATCATCATCATCATCATCATCATCATCATCATCATCATCATCATCATCAGCATCATCATCATCATCATCATCAGCATCAGGATCACAATCATCATCAACATCATCCTCATCCTCATACGCATCCTCATCCTGATCCCCGTTCCAAACCTCATCCTCATCACCGTCGCCACCAGCATCGCCATCATCATTATACTCATCATGCGTATCACCGAATCATTACCGTCGCACTCGCCACCCCCACCGCCATCATCATCATCACCAGCATCACTATCACCATCACCATCATCATCATCATCAGCATTATCAGCACCAGTATCGTCCTCATCCTCCTTATCGTCATCATTCTCATCACATGCAGGATCATCATTCTCATCCTCATCATCATGCGAATCCTCATCCGCATAATCCCCATCCTCATCCTCATCCTCATCATCATCGCCATCATTATCATCATGACCATCAGTAGCATCATCATCATCATCATCAGCATCCTCGTCATCATCATCCTCATCATCATCTTCGTCATCATCATGTTCGTCGTCATCATCATATTCATCCTTGCCATCCGCCTGCTCATCATCATCATCATCATCATCATCATCATCATCATCATCATCATCATCATCATCATCAGCACAATCATCCCCATCCGCATCCTCATCCTCATCATCCTCAGCATGATCATCATTCACATCCTCCTCCTCCTCACTATCCTCATCTTCTTCCTCCTCCTCCTCATCATCATCAGCAACATCATCATCATCATCCTCATCGTCCTCATCCTCCGCCTCCTCCCCCTCCTCCTCATCATCAGCATCATCAGCATCATCAGCATCATCAGCATCATCATCATCAGCTTCATCTTCATCTTTACCATCACCACCACCACCATTACCATCACAATCACCATAATCCTCATCCTCATCATCCTCAGCATGATCATCATTCTCATCATCATCCTCAGCATCGTCATCCTCATCCTCCGCCTCCTCCGCCTCCTCCTCCTCCTCGTCCTCATCATCATCATCATCATCATCATCATCATCATCATCATCATCATCATCATCATCATCATCATCATCATCATCATCATCATCATCATCATCATCATCATCATCATCATCATCATCATCATCATCATCATCATCATCATCATCATCATCATCATCACCATGAGCATCATATTCGTAATCATCCTCATCTTCATCCTCATCCTCCCCCCGCTCTCCCTGGGTCGTTCCGAGACTCGGCAAGCAGTCGAAGGGAGAGGGAGTGGGCAGCGCCAGAGGATGGGGGGGGGGGCAGCAGGAGCAGCCGCTGCGAACGGCGAGGAGCAGCATAAGCAGCAGCGGCAGAAGCAGCCAGCAGGAAGAGCAGTGGCAGTCGCCGGCGCGGCCGAAGCCAGCGGGCAGGAGGAGAGCGCCTTTTTGTCGTCCGGCGCGCGAACAAGCGGCTCAGCGCGAGAGAAACGGGCAGAGGGGGGCGCCAGGGCCGCTCCCCAGCCTTTTCGGAGCGGGAGGGGGGGGGCCAACGGAGGAGCCCCGAGTCCTTCTTCCCCCTCCTCCGACTCCTCCTTCTTCCTCCTCCTGCTGCCACTCCTCCTCCTAGGACAGAAGCGCATCACGTCACGCCCTGATGAGCACGAGCACTGCAAGAAAAGCAAGTGTCGAGAAAGTAACTCCTCCTCATGCTCCTGCTCCTGCTGGTTTGTGTTTCCTAATGGCATGAGGATCCAACGGATATTGCCCTCCTCCTCCTCCTCCTCCTCCTCCCCCTCCTCCTCCTCCTTCTCACCTTCGTCATCATAATCAGCATCATCATCATCATCATCATCATCATCATCATCATCATCATCATCATCATCATCATCCTCATCCTCATCCTCATCCTCATCCTCATCCTCATCCTCATCCTCATCATCATCCTCATCCTCATCCTCATCCTCATCCTCATCATCCTCATCCTCATCTTCATCCTCATCCTCATCTTCATCCTCATCCTCATCATCCTCATCCTCATCTTCATCCTCATCCTCATCCTCATCCTCATCATCCTCATCTCAGCATCATCATTATCAACATCACGATGCCACCACCATCATCGCATCATCGCATCATCACCACCACCATCACCACCAGCGTCATCTCCATGTCCTCGCGGACCACCAGCACCAGCACCACCACCCAGGGACCAGCACAGATCGATCCAGCTCGACGGATGCCACACAAGGAGGAAGTCGTGGGCTCTGGCCGTGATGCTCCCCGACGCCGACTATGAAGGGGCCCTGGGACACACAAATAAACAGACACAAATAACCAGATTCCCCATATTTTTAATTTTTTTCTGGGTTTTCGTCTTACCCCCTACTCCCCACATGTTCCCGTATTTCCTGGGGAATCGACGATTCATTGTGTCTGTGTGTTTTTTCTCCTCCTGCGAACTACTGCCGCAGCGGCAGACCTCCGGGGATGCGGCGGAGGCCGCCAGGGCGGACGGCGGGCTCTCCCCCGTGGGCTCCCCGCCCCCCCCGCGAGGAGAGCTGCGCACGTCCGCGGCCGGAGCGCAGACGCCCCCAGGGCCGCAGGCCGCCCCCGTCGGTGGCCCCGCAGCACGGGCCGCGCGCGCGCGCGAGGAGAGGCACCCACCGCCGCACTGCACGCGACGGCAACGGCGGCGGCCACGACGGCGACCAGGGGTGGCAGCCGGCGGCGGCGGCGGCGGCGGCGGCGACGGCGGTGGCGGCGACGGCGGCGGTTGGCGCGGCAGAGAAAGCTGGCATGGCAGTCGCAGCGACGACGGCGGCGGCGGCGAGGATGGCGATGGCGACGGCGGGGGTACGACTGCCGTGGCGAAGACGGCGCGGCCACCGTAGATCTCTTTCCCCAAGACCGTAGACAACTGTTTTCTTGACCGGCGCCCCTTACAACTCTTGCTGGCATCCGGCCAGCGCCAGCTATTTGCTGCTTGACCTGGCCTCAAGTGCCCACCCGACTATCTGCGTGGGAGATTAATGAAGCTCTGGAACTGTACTCGGGAAGGGGGATGGGCTGGGTATTGGCATAGCAAGTGTCTCACCCTCCAAAGGTTCCAGATGTCGTAGGAGGGCCAGTTAACACATCAGCGGCCCTCACACAAGCAAGGGGATCAGGATATACCCCTACTCAGCCACCCAACCAGCCGATTGCTGGCCAATCAGGACCCCATCACATGTACGCTTTTCTGATAAAAGAATACTGCGAACTCGACACTTTCGCTTTCAGCATGAACATTATGTCGCCCATGTTGCCACATGCTTGGCAGGAATGAGACTGGGCGCACATCCTG